TTGAAAAATACATATACAGTGAAGTTGGCGACGTCGTAACAACTCAGCATAGCAGTAAAGCAATATATATATATGTGTAGGACTTGCCATAAAACGTTATATACACTGTTTGCAATCCAAGTTTTAACCTCAAGAAACGATTCCAATGCATCGGAATCGATTCTAGTCGATTCCGCGGAGAATCGAATCCAGACTCGATTTCGCCCTCCCTATCTCCAACTGATCCCAGATTTGCAACTGCGATCGATTTCGAAACGATCTGATTTGAAAATTAATTTCTAATCGACTGTAAACGTCATTGAGTTTGTGTTAGTTGATTAACTCAAAAAATGCCTATATTCCGCCCTTATTGATAAATCTGTTCAGTTGATATATATTATGTAAATGAAGATTTTAGAGTATTGGACACGAAGTGAACCTATGACTCATTTTACTGAATTCGTATAACGGTCGATGTTGTTATTGAAACTGAAAACGCTTTGATTTTGTGCTAGAATTATTAGTCGTTGTAAAAGAAATCTTCTACTTCTGGAAGCTGTAATGTATGGTAACTATCAGAAAGGGTCAAAAGTCATTCTAGAATTCACTATAAATTTCTTTGTTAGGTAGTGTTTTTGTGTCCTATATATCCGTGCGCTATGTTTTGGTTAACAAGTGATAAACTTTTGCAATGCAACATATTTACTTGTAATTCAGTCTGCCAGGCCAATCCTTAATGTAGCACCACCATTGATGGGGCGTAGCCAGGAATTTTCAAAGGGAGTGAGTCAAAAAATCTAATTGCTATGTTATGCCCTTTTTCACTTTTCAAACGCATCCATTGTACAGACTCTGTTCTCCGAATTCATCTTTCTCTCTCTTTTTTCTCTTCACTTCTGCTTGGCGTTTTGGCTGTATCAACATTATTATACTGTACGTTACATAGACGTGTTTGCCATTTTACTCAAGCTGGTGAGATTTGAACCCATTAGTTAAAGATCGAGTCATTACTTGAGCATTGCACTTGGTTGGAAGTGAATGTCTTTTAGCTACCCTAAAATCGGATCAACTAATAAATAGGGGTCACAGTGGGACATGGCGCACAGTGGAAAATAAGCTCTCACATTCGTGCTATATCCGGAATCCGGTCTGCGGTTTGATATTTGAATCCACCCTTAGGTCCACCCTTAGAAAATAATTCAATTTGTTTACGGATTTCTTTGAAAAAATATCTGAAATATTTTGGTTGAACATTGATTTCCAAACTTTTAAATCTCGAAATAGGAATTTTCCCCGTTCTTTAAATCAGGGTCGTCCAACCCGTGGCCCGCGGGCCAGATGTGGCCCGCGGAGGTGTTCCGAGTGGCCCGCGCTGTTTTTTCGAAATTGAATAAAAACAAATTGAGTAGAAATTCTATTTTACATTGAAGTAGTATACAAAGATATGATACAAACTATTTGTTTCTTTTTCTGGAATGCGCTCTTTTTTTTTTAGATGCGCTCTGCTAGCCCTATTCAAACGAGCCATGAGTGCCATTTTGAATCGAAACCAACTGGGGTATATCGATACATAAAGGTGCCATAGTCCCTTACACCAGCGGTTCCCAACCTTTCTACCCTGGCGGACCGGTAAAATTACATTAAATGTGTTCGCGGACCGGCAAAAAATTAAAATGGCCGGAACAGAAAAGAATAACATATATTTGCGTAATATAATGCAATGTCGAGCACTCAATATGCTTCTAGACAAAAAAGCACACTTAAAACCATTCCACACGGAGAAAAACTATCAAATAATGTGCTGACCAAAAATTAAAAATGGGTGAAACATAAAATAATACCATATATTTGCGTAATGAAATGCAGTGCTGGGCACCCATTATGCGTAAGAAAGGTATGCATAAAATATCTCACATTAAAAACAGGTACATGCCAAATCATGTACAAACACAATTAACTTCTGTGAGAATTTTGCTGCTGTTTTGTTTCCAATATAAGATTACAAACGAGGCTCAAAGAAGTTTTTGCAACACGTAGCTCTGCAGCCGCGTGCAGCCAATTTCTTTGCTTCGTTGTAATTGAATCTAGTGATGATGTTTTTTTCGCATAACGCAGTAACTGGCTGAAAAGACGGACAACAGTTCGATTGCTCGATTACTTGGCCATGAGTATTCGTTATCAAGAGATATCTAAAATTGTGATAAGTAATTCTTTTTTAATCGGGACTGTAAAGTAGAATCGCCATTTTAATCAAGCCTTTTATTTTTCAATGGGTTCATCATAAAAATCCCTCTGCAGTTGATCGACGCCTCAAACGAAATGAATTTGCATTACAATGACAAAGTCGTCGGTAACTTGGCAACAGGCTCAAAATCCTACTGTGTCTGGAAAAGATCTCTGCGGCCCATGCTTTTTTGCGCGTCTCGTGACCAACTGTGGGGTCGCAACAAGTTCCTATCTTACTCGAATATTATACTGTTTTTGACTGTTTTCTGGTTTGAAAAAGAAGATATGCATTACGTTTTATATGGATGGTCATATTAAGTAGGAAAAGCACGCAGAACAGAAAAAGCACGCATGCCGATTTTGAGGCTTCTTAATTTTGCGAGATTTGATGGAGCGCATTCGCGATGAATCGGAGGCGAACAGTGTGAATGCTCGGCGCCAAGATGTCGCGTAAGACGGCGTCAAGATGTCGCAATATGACGGCGGAAGAGAATTGCGTAATGAGCCAACGCAGCTTTGTATACGGTAGGCTACAAAGTACAAAAAAAAAAACTTTGTATACGGTAAAGCGATTGAGACGGCATAAAAACAACAAAATTTCTCGCGGACCGGCAAAAAAGCTTCGCGGACCGGCACCGGTCCGCGGACCGGCGGTTGGGAACCACTGCCTTACACACTTGTTCTTTTACTACTTTTACATACATAAAATCTTTGATGTTTCGGCAATGAAGCAAAATATTGATGGATTTAATAACTCGCCATTCCTCAAATTTTACAGAAAATACGTATGTAGGGGAAAATTTTAGAGGACGAACAAAATGGCAGTTTTCATGACCTCATTACTGAGCAGTACTTATTTGTGCTGAAAGTTTTTTCACAGATGAACCATGTCAAATCCCCCGTGATATCACTAATTTCTGACAGTCATATATGAAAAATCCGCCTTGCTACATCGTCCATCACACCGAATATTGACAAACTTGTTAGTCAAAAGCTGTGCCAAACTTCACATTGAAATATCTACGTGTAGAAGAAAACTTGTTGACTCTAATGTATCTTCGTTTTTTTATTGTTCTTATAAATGTAAGAGTTCGGTGAGACGATTTTGTATGTTTTCTTTAACCTATAGTCAGTGTAGCAAAACTAGAACATAACTACATAACGTGTTAAGAGGCACGCGCAATTATTAGTGAATTTCATGCGGTCCTTCGACAAAAAAGGTTGGACGATTCTGCTTTAGATGATTCTGCTGATTTTTTGCTCGTTTTCAAGGGCGTGCATCGTTGAATCAAACAGAATGCCCATTTGCGCCCCAGGATCTGTCCGAATGTACCCCACAGGTGGGCAATGTTCCCTCTAATTTTTTGTAGTGTGTGCGCAGAAATTTTGGTGTGTGCGCACTTTTTTGGAAATGAATAATATTTGTGCAAAAAACAATGAAGAAATTTTGGGTTTTAACCGGCTAATAAGTGGGCCAGCAACAAACTTTCTCAACCTGCCAACCAAGCACATAGTTACATTACATCGAAATTCGTCTGTGCGCAGTAAACCTATGCGTGTGCGCAGCCTCTGAAAGCTGTGTGCGCGCGCACACGCGCACACCTCAGAGGGAACACTGCAGGTGGGGGACAGTTGGCAAACGCTTTTCGAAGCATTTCGGTGGTAAGATGTGTGTCGCAAGGAAATTTCTTAGTCGCTTAATAAAAACTACATTTACCCCTCTTTATTCCGTCCCTCAAAGTGAAATGAATGTGCAGAATAAACGGCTCAAAGTATGCAAAAGAAAAAGTGTCCCCAATTTCCCCTACGGCAGCCTACTATTCCAGAGGAGGACATTCAAATGGCGATTAGACAAATAATCATTCTCTACCTAATTGTTATGCCATGAACGTTGTATCGACATAGTAGCTGCATACCGCCGTACTACGGTAGTTCACTAATTGCTAGAATAAATTGATACCGGTTTTATTATCAATGTCATCACTGAAATGAAACAGTTTTTTTGCAATAATTAGTGACTTGGCGTTTCACCTAAAGACGCGGTAGATCACTTTGTGACCCACGAGTCAGTGGTTCTCACTGCCTGCTGCACGGGCACACGGACGTTTATGCCCACACAGGATCGTATGCGGAGATACGCCTATCAAGAGTACGCGATGCCATAGAACAGGGCTACTCAACTGGCGGATCGCAGTCCAAATCTGTCCGTACCTTTCGTGTATTCGTTTCGAACCGCACCGCATTCTTTATATTTAATCATTGGTCTCACTTTGGATATGTGAGGGTTTCCTTTTGTCAAATGACTTTCACACTTTCAAAGGCTATTTTATAATTTGCTCATATCTGCACCTGCCTATGAAAAAACCTTTAACGCCGCGGCGAAAGTGCGCGTTTAGGGACGTTGAAATATAATTTCTCGAAAGACCGGATCCAAGTTATTTTGAAGTTTTGTTCACAGGTCTTTGATAAAATAGTTCAATAAATCTGCCATAGAAGACAAGGCTCGATCTCCGTAATTAAATACCTCGTTAATAAAAGTGAAGTTTTCTTTGTTCTTTTATTAGCATTTCGTTATTTAGTGGAGGCAAATTCCCAACGCAAACACCGCAACACGATTTTCGATTTTCAACGTCTACATATGGCGGGATCGTTAAGAAAGTCAGCTGCACGCATTGGGCGCCGGTTAACTTCCTTTGTATGTCAACCCTATTTTTAACAGCTTTTTCTAGCCTTCATAGATGCAATAGTTTTGACATAACGGGTACGGACCCAAATGAATTGAAACACTACAGAACTTTATTTAGTAATTCAGTTCGTATTAGGCAAATTTCATTACCTTTTTCAAGTCTACACAATATAACATAAACATTGAAACAAAAATAACCACAGAATGAAACACGTAATTATATAATATCAAATCAAACTATATGGTAGCATGGTGTGGATTTCAATATTTGAGATCATGCTTGATGTTGAGATTTGCTTCCGCACTTGCTTTGCCAGAAGGATTCTGTGCGACGCACCGGTACATTCCTGCATCACGCGGTCGACAATCGTGAACAGTAAGCGTACAAACACCATAACTGTTTTTTATGGAGTACTTGTTGTTAGGCTTGATGCGGTAATCCTCTGCAAGATATCAACAAATGAAATGAATATATAGGATCATAGGGTGACCCAAAAAAAATGAACCCAGATAATTTGGAAAATATTCTAGAAAGAGCATAACTAAGTGTCGCGGACTGCTGTATCTTTTTGGTACAATCATATAAACAGACAGAAGTTCAAGTGTTGAATAAATTTTTGCAGAGGTAATTAGGAAATCTGTTAGTTCTATTTTTGGAGGTAACGCTCTATATAATGATTACCACTGGATATTGAAAATATTCATTTCAGAGAATCTTACATGTTGAATTATTAAATAAATAATGCTTGGTGGTGAAAATAAACGGGGTTAAATATGACGTTACAGTGTTTTTATATTATTCGCTGATAGTTCTCCTTAACTTGTTTAGAGACAGAAAACGCTATATATAATATCAATATATATATATATATATATATATTATATCAGTTTCTATACACCAAAACTGTTATAATCACTTAAAATCACAGATAGTTTTCCAAAGCCAATAATTCTACATATATTTATACATAAACAATATGGAATAATATTTAATTTAATACGTACCTTTGTACCAAGTAACTTCTGGCTCGGGGAGTCCTCCCACAGCACAAGTAAAGCGAGCTGTACTGTGCTCGCTCACTGAAATAGGCTTGAGCGAAAGATGGAACTGTGCTGGTTTTTGAAGTTTAACTGATCTGTAGTCTGTCTTCTCGATTTTAAGCGGTCCTGTGCATGTTGAAACGAGAGATTTATTCATAAATATTATTCAATACTGAAAGACAAATCAGCAATAGAGTAAAGCGAACATGACCACTAAAACTTCGATCCTGACGTTTCCTATCTATAAAAAATTAAATGCAGTAATATTTTAACATATAAACATAGCAACATTATTGAACTTTCAACTCACTCCTTAAAATTTTAACGTTTACAAAATCGACTCACCTCTTCTCTGTACAACTGTAACTAGGTTAGACTGATCTCCATCGCCTCGTCCCAGTTCGTTTTCAGCAATGACTCTAAAGTAGTAAGTAAAACCCGGTTTCAGGTGTTTCATGACGTAGGATGTTCCTTTGATTTTGTCCTGAACGGTCTGGAACGATCTGGAGTAGGCGTCTCTCATCTGTAAAGAGGACTTGCTGTGTTTAAATAAAAAAGATACAATGGTACAATAATTCACTCCATGCGAGTGGTTTTGCAGGACCATCGACACCGAGAGTATATGGGAAATTCTCCATCAATGAGATAACCATTACTTACGTAAGACTAACCTGTAAACAGTAATGTTTGATAGGGTGTCCACCATCATTTGCAGGTGGCTTCCACTTTATTTCCAATTGTCCATCTTCTGTTAGATCACCGATAGTAATATGAGACGGTGGATCCGGGGTGTCTAAAATGAGGTCATGTAGTGATATGCGAAGCTTCGTGCATAATACCAAAATAGAATTTATGAAAGATGTATTTGCCTGAAACACTAGAACACATGAAGTGTCATTTAGGTACGTGAATTCAATCTTATGTAACTGGTTACAAAGTTTTATGTACAATCATTTTTAACATTGCAACAAGAATGAATAGAACAATATAGCCTCCTAGATGTTTATCAACTAGAATGCTATTTGAAGCTTTGTCAAATATATAGAAATACAATATTTCACAACAACACGTCGCTGATCAAATACCGCAATTGACGTTTCCCCGACCCTTGACCCCATCAACATTTTTACTTTACTTTACTGTTCATTTTGATGTGTGGGCCCTCTTAAACTGGTTTACATGTTCAAAATCATCATATTTATGAAAATGTTCACCCACGTGCCACCTGACAGGTATTGATACCAAATTTTAGTCTAGTCTATCGCAGCGTTTGCGAGACTAATTTGATTACTGCCACTTAAGTAAAGCTTCTCGGAAGACATAATGACGATTAGGATTTTTACGTAACTACTATTTTTTAGAAATACAACTGAAAACTGACAAAAAGCACTGCAACTGTGAAAACGAAGCAATGTTTACAACCATGATTGAATATTGGCCCGAGCGAAAGAAGTGTCTGGGCGGCTGCAGAAATTGCAATTGTTACGTTATCATTAACTCCTTGCTGATTGGTTATGGTTACGGATATGAACAAGTTTAATTTGCACAATAATTTTACTGAAGAATTTTTATTTACAACATTGGAAAATTTCACCAGTCATTATAAAAGACTGTCAATACCTTGTAGTTGCTTGACCTCCATAAATGTCTGGGCGGCTGCAGAAATTGCAATTGTTACGTTACCATTAACTCCTTGCTGATTGGTTATGGTTACGGATATGAACAAGTACGATGCTCATGAAAATATCCGTGACTCACCTCGTACTGAAATCTTAATTGGGATTTCAATAGTTCCGCTTGAATTAGTTGCTGTGATTTTATACACGCCAGAGTCAGCTTTTGTAACGTTTCTCATAATCATCTGTGAAACTCCATCTTGAGTCGTTATGGCGCATCTTCTGTCGAGGTCAGTGTCGTCCTTGATCCAGCGAATCAGTGGGGTTGGTTTACCCTGTTGTACAATTAGTATTCAATTTAGCGATTTAATTTTGTACGAATGGTGATGGAGTGTTCCAATAACGCAGAGATGCCTAAATTCACGGTAGAATCTAATGGCTGTTCATTTATTCAGGATAGAGGTAGAGGTAGTTTTGTTTTATGTTTCGAAGTCCATGCTTTAAAAAACAAATGACTGGCTAACTAATCCCTTACCCGACATGGACTGGTGACCGGACGAGAGGTCATGGTTTGCCATATGATTAAGCCACTATATCTGCTTTCATATCCCCCGAGATAAATATGTAAATCCTATCCTAGGTACAAACTCACGCTGACGCTAGCCACAATTCTAACAGTATTGTTAGCATGGAGATCAATTCCAGTTTCTTGAAGAGACTTGTCGACTTTGATGCTAGGCTTTTCTGTAATCAAATAAATATTATTAAAACATTAGGAATTAAATCTGCTCCACAAAATGTTCTGATACCACACCAGGCATAATTCAAATGTCGTCGAAAAAACAAATTTGCACAATAATTTTACTGAAGAATTTATTTTTACGACAATGGAAAATTTCACCAGTCATTATAAAAGACTGTCAATACCTTGTAATTGCCTGACCTCCATAAATTCGAGAGCGTGTGCATCTCCATATCCTCCATCGTTGATTCCTCTCACACGGAAACTGTATCGGTCACCGGGAAACATGCGAGTAATCTGGAAACAAAAAGGCAAATCAGTCTCTCGTGTGACAAAGATCTTTCCTTTTGTTTGAGATATTGTTGAACACGAAATGAACCTACAAATCGTTTTGTTATTATATTGCTGTTGTTGTTAATATTCTCATTGTTAACTCTTTTTGTTCTCCCTTTTCTTTTAAACTGTTTTATTTTTGTTCACGGAAACACGTGTTTTCTGCCGCCAAGCAAACGGTTTACGCCAAGACTGTCCTCGGTTTTGATTTTACTATCTCGTGCAACGCGAAAGTAGGAAGTTTTTTGAGAAGGGTACGGTTGTCAATCGAAGTTTAGTGTAGTGTACTTCAAGCGGGCGTGATGTAACAATTCTTGCATATGTCATTCCGGACTACGCCATCCAAAAATTACTTCATTGCGACGTCACAATCACGTCAATACGAGTCCGTTGTCACCGATGAAGAATGGACAAAAGTATGTACGAATTGTTACACCATGCCCACTAGCCCACTAGAAATACTTGGGGTGCTAAACTACACTAGTCCCACTGGCCCGGTAGCCGTTCCATAGCTCCAGCTTCGTTCAGGATATGGTTTTGGGAAAGTGTGTGTAAAATATTTCGTTTCATTTTTTTTGTGTCCATATATTATATCATCGCTGACTTGTTTATCTGAGGCATCACGACCTATATTACCTAATCGGCCGCTTACGTCTATACGTCTGGTTTAGGCCTAGGCTACTATAAATTGTCTCGTGCGTGATGAGGAAACGGGAATAATTCCAAAAACGTTGGGAGAAGCATTTTTCTAGCCATGGTGTGTTGTTTGCTTACCATGTACTTGTTTGTCCTGATAGGATAATCATTGCATGCCATCCAGTTCGTAGTTCCCTCTTTGCATTTCTCAACTACGTATCCATTGAACGCGTATTTGGTGAGATCTTCCGGAGTATCCCATTCCAATGAAACGCTGTTGTCGGTCATATCTGTCACTTTTACACCGGTAACTGGAGGCGGAGGTGCTGTAACGTGTAATTTCGTAAGTTTAATGGTTTTCTAGATTATGATAGTGGAAAATTTCATGAATGGAGACAGGTTATGCTAGCCCGATAAATTTCAGAGATACAGTTGTCTAAAAAGAATGAATGCATTCTGTGAATGAGTAGCATTATATATATATATATATATATATATATATATATATATATATAATTTATTTGTGCAGTTAACAACTGAATATTCCAAAGATCATATGGCTTCCCCGTTATGCTAACTTTGTACAATTGTATCTTGTGGACGCAACATATTTTCATGTCTCATAAAATTATTATGACTCCCACTGGAAGGATATTTCCAAATAAATCACTTTTCTATAGACAGTAGACACACCAAACTTCTGATTGTTCCAGAGTCATTCTCTCCAACCATGCCAATCGTGCATCAAGGTTGGCGATTTGGGCATTTGTTCCACATAACTAAATCACTAAACAACTTTTGTTTTCCACCTGAATAACCCCAATACGCTGCAAACGTGACAAACAATGGCTTACTACTCACGGACAGGATCTCTGGCTACAATTTTCTGTGAAGGCAACCCTGGTGTCCCATTTCCTCCTTCGTTATGAGCGGTGACTCTGAATGAATATTCTGAACCTTCTTGAAGTTTATTGACAGTATATCCAGAGTTTTTCAGAGTCAGATCAAATTCATTAACTGATACCCAATTGCGTCTGTTCTGTTTCCTCAGTTCAATAAGATATCCTGGAATACAGCGATCCCTGACTTTATATTAAATTCGATCTGCTAGATTTTTAGTCGCAGCAAGGAATAATCATGTATATATATATATATTTTATGTGTGTATTCAAAATCATTGGCGAGAAGCAAATTATGATTGAGAGATCAAACTTTTCGATCCAGTCATATTGAAGACGAGCTATCCGAGACAACGTTCAAGAAGTAGGCATAATATCTAGTGACTATTAAAATATAGTTAGGTGCAGACTATTATATGCGATATTGTAAAAGCCCGCCCCAGAGATCATGGGGTGTCTCTGTGTGATATGATGTCCTTATTATAATGACTGCTTGAGTGCTTGGTAATATCATACACTAGAAAGCATGTAAATTGAATATCAATCTTGTGACATACCGTTGATTAGACTGCCACCGTCATCAGTTGGTTCTGTCCAGCTAAGTACACAGGAGTTGTTTTTGATGTCTGTGATTTGTGGTACCCCAGGTTGACCAGGAGGTTCTGACAAAACAATTGAATATGATCAAATATATGTGATTCTGAGTGTAGGATTGTATATGTAGTAGACGTTTTTTAGTAATATTTCTCTGTTAAATATCGTCCATCAATATAATATTTACTTACTATATTTGTCATCAGCAAGAATGAACTCAGATTCTAAATATCCACTGTTTCCCAACTGATTAAATGCACTGACTCTGAAAGCATAGGAAGTTCCCTTTTCTACGTGGTCAGCAACAAATTGCAACTTTTCTCCCGGAAGAATTTTTCCTGCCTGTTAATGATACATACAGTTTTAATTGAATTATATATTTCAAATGAGCAAATTATTAAAAGAGAGAAGTCTACAAACTTTTTCATTTACAACATAGCATAAACTTGGGATGATCTTAATTGACAAAATTTAGTTCCCTTGACGAAAATTAAAAACATTTAATAAATCTCACTCTCGTCCATTCGACTTCTTTTCCATCGTCTTTTTTCTCCATGACATACTGTGTAATTTTAGTTCCTCCGTCGTCTTCTGGCGCCTTCCATCCAACAGTAATTGCTTTGGATGAAGCTTTGAGAACTTTCATGTCGGTTGGATTTCCAGGAGCAGCTGTGATACGTTGAGCAATCATTACAAATATGTACATTTGGAATTAAAAGTTTGAATACTAACTCAAGGGCAACTCAAATATTTTGAAAAACTAACGTGATTAGAGCAACTACACCAGGCTGAATTTTAATTTGAACTCAAGTGTATCTTATTTACTATCATTGTGACGTTAAACGTTTTACTGTTTCGAGTTTTCAATTGTTTTTCATCCTGAGGAAGTATTTGTTTCATTGAAATCTAAGGAATCGGTCTGGGATTGTAAATTGGAGTAAAACGATCAGAAATAGCTGTAAGGTTCCTCTTATTTATCAAATATACAATAATTTATCGGTTGATTACTGTAAGCGGCTACATTTTACAACTAAGTTGAGTTTAGCTTCTGTTTCTCCCTCGGTGTTTGTCAGTTTCACATTATAAGCGCCAGTTTCCGATCTCTTGACTCCACGAAGAGTTAAGGTCACAGATCCCTTCTCCACAACAGATTCTTTGGTTGTGTCGCCCTCTGAAATAGCAAAATATGGTGATGTTTAGTGTATTATTAATACATCGAACTTTATTGGAAATGCACATCTCTGTGTAGCTGTCCTAAAAATCATATTCGCTCTCGATGTGGAAGACCAATAGCATTCTAAGGTAGAGGCCAATTGGATGGCAACTGCATCTTTATAGGTTTAACGATTTTGCCCTTTGTTGTCTGTGTGCGAATAGATCTAAATGCACCTTGTGAAAGTGTCCTCTTATTGAAACAACTTTAATGCTACACAGAAACAAGAGATATGCTCAGAAATTACGGTTTGAAATCTCATCCTATATATGCTTATTCAATACTACGTGATCATTTTTTTATTCTAGAATTTAATTGTTTCGCTAATACTGCTTTGAAGGCATGGGATATTCAGATATTGAATTGGGCTTTAAATAGTGAAATAAATACAAAGACGGGAGGCTCGGAAAGTGAATTTAATTTCGTACAAGGTTTATAGGTATATATAGAACAAAATATTTAATGATGAAGAAAAAACCTGGAAACTCGAGATCAACTCCATCCTTTTGCCAAGTAGCAACAGGCTTGGGTCGTCCAGTGAACGGAACTTTCAAAACAACATCTTCTCCTGCCTTCGAATTGTGAGGCTCAGCTAAAGTGGCTTTCAAAGCCTCTTCGATCACCGGTGGCTCTGTGTCGGAATTATTCAAAAACGTACAATTGAAAAGTCTTTCGAATAGTACGGGAAATAAGTGTGAATGATTTTTTTTTGGGGGGAGGGGGCAGAATATTTCTACCTACGACACTCGGTCGGTGCTTTATAACAGATGTTATAGTTATGATCCATTAATAAGAAGTACAGTATGGTGGCATACGACAATACATTTGAGCCAGTGCAGTATAGGCCCTGAAGCCCTTTGGTCATTCATAAGGAGCTTGATATCCCCGTACAAAAATTTCGAATAAATTTGTGTAAAAAATACGCTCTGGTTTAGTATTCACAAGATTGTTTATCATATGGCAGTCTGTTTTGAATTTACAACGAGAAAAAGTTTGCCTGCCAAAAATGCAGGATTAATAATTCTTTAAAAAATTATAATTTATGCGTACCTGGAGCATCCATAGCTACGATTGGTTTATCCGTCTCTATGAATCGACCCTGGCCTGATGAATTGACAGCAGCAACGCGAAACTTGTAGCTCGAATCTTCTTTCAAGTTTTTAATTGACGCGCAGAGATTTTCAACGGATTTGTGTGGAACCTAATAAACCAAAGAGTTGCGGATAGATATTGCTGCAAAAATATGAGGATGTATATATATATATATATCTGGATTTTAGGAGAAGTTTGAAGGTAGGTGGACATTGATCGGTTAAGCTTTTCCGGATAGACATACAGGTGGCAATTGTGATATTTCACTCGTATAGCAAATAACAGACAAGTGAATCATATCATATGAACCGCGGTTTTGGGCATGGCGCTTGACAGCGGTGTCTTCGGCCTCAACTTGCCCTTATTGAAAAATATTTTTTGATCATAAAGTTCCATAAAATTGAAGAAAAATAAAATTACAAATCGGCTTGCTCTTAAAACATAAAATGTAATCTTTACTTAATTAAACCTTCATACCTTTTCCCAGTCACCGTTATCTTCTTTCATCTCCATTACGTATGACGTCACAGGACTTCCGCCATCGCTTTTAGGCTGATCCCAAGTTAGAGAAATACTGCTCGATGTTACTTTGCCTGGACTTGGGGCACCTGGAGAACCCGGAGGACCTTAAAAGCATAACATTTATGTTTTTGATTTTTTCATAGTGCAACAAAAAAACATTCACACACCAATATTCATCTTTTCACAGTTATGTACTGTAGAGTGTTATATTTTTAGAAACCCAGAATATATATATGCGTATTGCATTCTTTGTCATAAAACATGTGTCTCAAATCAGATGAAGAAGACAGATATTTTTTTTTTAAATCGCGGATAAAGCAAATATATTTTAGGGCTATCAAAGAATGACAGACAGACGAGAAAGCGCCAGCGTGTTACCTGAAGCAAGTACCGGCTGGGAAATAAGTGGTTTGCTCTCTCCTTCTTGGTTCATCGCTTTTACCCGGAAAGTATATTTTACGCCTGTTGTTAACCCTTCAACCGTACATGTTGTTTCATCTGGTCCAACCTATACTGAAAATATTTCTTCATTGTTAAACAGTTTTAAATTTGGCTTATCACCATGCCATAATTAATTTACTGATTCACCAAAATAATCTATTAAAAATTACTCAAATCATATTTATGCAACATGTATGATTGAAAAATGATCTATCTGTTTGAAGGGGTTTTATTATTACAAAATTACAGCTCATAGAAAGGTTTTTGTTATAGTTAAATTTGAATAAAGGAATTATTTGATTGTACCAAATTTGCCGGTGAAACGTAGTTTAATGTTTTAAGTAAACGGATGATTAAATATTAAACTATATCACCAAAACCTTGTATTTCTACTTGATGTAACATTACACATTTGGTACATATAGAATAAAACACATTCACCTTTGTCGCGGGGGACCAATTTGGCGATTTTGTGTCTTTCTTTTCAATTTCATATCCAGTGATGGGACGACCGCCATCAGATTTAGGTGGATTCCACGAAAAAGATGCATCGGTACCAGTTACCAGGTCAAAATCAATGGGGCCAATGGGCTGAGATGGTGCATCTTGAATTAAATATTAATGAACAAAGAATAAATTTAAACACTGTACAATATATTCAGATTCATATCTGGGTGACATCACTGTCCAAGAACATAAACACAATTGCGAAATTTTCGTAAACTGATGCTGATGCTGACTGCAAACAGTGGGATGGTACGAAGCAGTGATTTCGTGACGGCATCGGCAAATTATTAGTTAGACAACGAAGTACATTTTTTTATCATATCATCTTATAATAATAAAACTCTTGAAACTTAACTTAAAAAAGCTTCATAGATCTTCAATTTTTTAAGATTTATAGGAAGGAGACATTAACGAATATTCGGTTCTACTAATACTTGGATGAGGCTGTTTTACGAAGTAAGTTTTTATGAGAAAATAACATTTAATTGTTTAGATTTTCCCTCATAGGCAATAAGCCTAAGTGCTATAGCCAGGAACATAATCTATTAACGTTTGGGTTTTCATAAGTTACATCCCGCACATCACTTAGCACAGGATATGGGTTAACACAGCATATTTCATATTCATCACGGGCTGAACAGAGAATCAGAAGTCTATCCGAAGTGTAATCATGAAACGTTAGCAAATACTAGATAGCCATAATATGAATGAAAAATCGAACACTACTGCATAGCATTAGGGTGACTATATAGTTTGTATACCGCCTGTCATCTGATGTCATATGCAATGATCTATCCCTTGGGACAGTTATTCCATATACATCGATCAGTGTCAGAGCTACATATTGAAATTAACATATATATTGAGAATGGCTTAGCAATATAGTTTTATTTTATACTTAAATTTAGAGCATAATTTGCCGGGTGAATATTTTTAATTATCGCGTCTTTATCTATTACATAATCATGAGCTTGTTCGTAGTCGATTCGCATTGATGTTCAAACATTTGCAATAGATAATGTCCTTGATAAACGTAATATATTGATTGAAACTATTAATGATCCAGTCACTTACCTATAACTGTCATCTTAAATCCAACCGTGTTACTACCGGCCTTGTTTTTCAATAGCAAATTGTATTCTCCGGAGTCTTCAGCCCCAACTCCGGTTATTGTGAAAGTTGTTGCGTTGTCAGTCGTTTCGGCTGAAATTCTGCCTTTAGTGTTCAACTTTTTGCCATCTTTTGACCACACTGCGATTGGCAGAGGGTGTCCAACGTATGGTATCTGGAAGACATAAAATTGAAGTTTATGGTCCTATTTTGTCAGTTTTCGTTCACTTTTGCTTGGCGTTTTTACATAGTACTTTTAACTTTTTATTACAATGAAGTATACAACACCAGTCTTAAGCTGAAATCTTCTTAAAGATTCCTAGATCAAATGCCATAACCAGTCTTGTGATTACAATCTCACCTTCAGTTTGAAATCTTTTCCAGCTTTGGGTAACTGCTCGCTTTTTAGCTTTTCCAAAACTGCAGCGTCCATATCAGGGGGATTAGACGGTGGTTGAACATTGACAGCACGGGATTCCAACGGCTCACTAACTCCCAACTTGTTCGTAGCTCGAACGCGAAACATGTATCTCTTGCCTACTGGCAGATCAGTGATAACAAATGACTTTTCGGTTGCTGGAAAGGTTCCTGCCTGTAATGAATAAGTTTATAGGCTTGCAATTTCAGAAGTTTTCGTTACTGAAACTAATCATAACTCAAATTTAAAACCACTAAAATGTAGCCATGGAGATCTAAGCTTTTCTGGTTTGTACATAAATTTGAGATTCGAGCGAGCAAACTTTGTTCATACGGCGTAAACAGTGATTAAATATATTGGAATAGTGTAGATATTTAATTTTTGTACTAGCTTCAAGAATTCAAATGAATCCTCTTTAATAAATGAATTTTATTTTGGGTCTTTACTACAAACTTGAGTTTAGTCAGTGTGTACTTCAGGTACGTTGAAGTAACTTGTGAATCCTCACTTTGAGCCTGAAACGATCTGTCATTGAATTTAAAACTTTTACTGATAATGAACAAATGAAACTATATTCGTTATTCGTTTATATGAATAATGGATGAATATAAAAAATCACATACTTCTTGCCAATCACTCTTTCCAGACTCGCATTTCTCCACGATATAATTTGTAACGTTGGCTCCAGCACCGACAGTCAGACCAATAGTAAATCTATTTGCTGACATGTTGTCAAACTTGATACTTCCCCCAGGTTTAGAAGGAGCCTCCATAACTTCGGCTGAATTTAGAAATAAATGAAATATTAAAATAAATCAATATTTCACACGGGTCATAGCATATTAGAATATGTAGTAAAATATAGATGCATTCGGTTTTGGTTGAGAAGCTCAATTCTATCCTAAATTTATTTTAGAATCAACATGTCTCTAAATTTGGCTGGTATTTAATCGCAAAATTGCGGAGTGGGGCTGTAGGTTAGCACCCCAACTAGATGATAGTTTAATTTAAAAAGCTCTTGGTACTATATTTTTAAGCGTTGAAAATACTGTTTAATTTTTGATATGGTAATTAGAAATTGTGTGATATAATCAAATAGGAAACTGTTTTTAACATCTCATAGTTTTGATAATTTTCGATGCCTTTGAGGACTTGCTTCTGCATTCAATACATTTTTGAAGACGTCTTTTACTTCAAACGTTTTTAATACTCACTTTGCTCTTGTTCAATAGTAATAGTTTGAGATTTTGTCGTAGTGCTTCCTGGCTGTTGAACCGTTTCAAATTTAATTTCGGATACATCAGATAAAGTTACCTCAACTGGTACTTTGATTTCACCATGAACATTTTTTAGTGTAACCTGAAATAGGAATCACTACAGTATTTGCTTTTCATCAATTCACTACTTTTCATACAATCTTTCATGGATTCTTATAGACGAATGATTTGGAATAATGTTTACTATAACCGGTGGTGTGCAAAACTTTTTTGCTGACCGAGGCAAGTTTCTTGTAACGACGACCCTTTATTCCCATAACTTCAAAAATAATTCAGGGATTGAACAAATTATATATGTTGTTATACAACATATACTGTTATACTCTACTTATAAAACACATTGGTGTGCAATACATCACATGTGTAATAACGCGAACTCTACATCTTGGATCTGCTGCCCCCTACAACGTGCTGCCCCTATGGCCCTACCCTAGGCCCACCCCTGCCCATAACTAATTTTATAATATTTCATATATATACTAAAATATAATTCCCAGTTTTGGGTCTGTGGACCATATTATACGATCGCGGTGATAGCACGCAAGTTTAATTCAAGTTTATTTTAATTTAGACTGAGCCATATAAACTTTCCGTGGCCCAAAATGGGAAGTTTAGAAGGTAGCAAGACTGTTATTGAATAACACTGGCAAAACCGCGAATGGTTAACTACACAGCTGTTACTAATCCTGGTCACCCTGGCCTAGAGTATTCAATAGTTTAATAATTTGTTAATTTTGGCGTACATTTCAAACCTGTCACACTAGTTTCAAGATAACTCCGTTTATTTCTGATCACCAGCCATAAATGTTCTTCAATTCGATAATAAATCTGAGTTTTGGTAATACTAATCTTAAATGAAATGAAACTATGAGTAACTAATTCCTAACGTTACCTCATAAGTTCCACAATCATCGGCATTGAATTCAGTGAGCGTCAGAGTGCTCGAATCAGAAGTAGTTGTGATTGTACATCTTGAAGAAGTCTTGATAATCTTTTCATTAAACTTCCATGAAGCAGTGATAGGGGATGCACCACTGAAAGGAACCTTTAGCACCAACTTGCCACCGCTTTGCAATCCTTCTAATGCCTTTGCACATTTCTCAAACTCCACAGGATCAATCGAAGGAGGTTCTGAGAATGATATTTGAATATAGAATAATATACAGAATCAAAAAGGTCTAAAATATTTTTTTCGTGTCAAGAACAATAAAAAATGATATATCAAAACTGTGATTCATGTGATTATTTTCTGGTGCGCAATCACGAATTAGCAAATAGCACTACAATAATATTATCAAATTTTATAGTAGTCTTGATACGAATTATGTGGATCGTACTACAGAGGACTTTACGAAATTTACGAAAGAAGTCACAATGCATATGAAAATATAATCCAAGTTGTATATTAACTTAAAATAAATTTTGTTTATAAATTAATAAAAGGTAAAAGTATCATTTCTCTTTGCATGAATTTCTGATAGAAATGTTCCTAGTGATGGAATTAGCATTTTCAATTGAAATGATCCTTACCATACTTATTCGGTTTATAAAGTTCAATTAATTTTTATTAATATTATTTATTTTATTATATCATTAACAATGACATGTTTCAAAGTTGTGTCAGAATTTCTTTTTCATTACAAAGTATTAAAAATTCATCTAGGTTTTTTCATGTATTGATAATCTGGGATGACGCAGAATCTGGCAAATTTCTCCTTTGATTGTTCGTCTATGCCAATTGTGTTTTGCAAATCGCTTGGATTAACTCTTATTGAAATCAAGTCGATGATAACACTTACCGGTCACAATGAGCTTGAACGGAACCTTAACGCCGCCTTTCGTGGTTTCAAAGGTAATTTCACCAGCATCAGTAGTATTGGTCTTTGTAATTACCAAACTATGTTTTGCTTTATTTTGTGTTATAAGTACTCGAGATCCATCGTGGGCAAGTTTCTTTCCTTCCTGAAATCAAAAGCATATAGATCATTACAAACTTTATAAAAATTGAGATAACTGTCTGAAAAGTTGTTCAAACTAATACCAAGTAATTCATGTCTTTGCAACGAATCCCCCATTTATTTTAGAATTTATGAGTGAATAAATTTGGAATTTTACAATAAAAATAAACAAAAAAGTGATGTTTCAGAAGTGTATTGGCTGTGAGACAGGTGAGCTGAGTTGGTCGGTTCAAAACTTGTGTTTCAGTTTCCTTGAATTGAAGTGGACACATATTTGTGTCGAGGTGTGGTGTTGCAATAACTACTATTATTGTCATCTGTTGTGTGAACCTTCTTGCAATAATACTGTGATAAAATCCCCCTATTATATTTTTCCTGGGAGCCATTACTAACTATACTCATATTAGAGTATAATCCCATAAAAGCGATTTCAAGCTCGAGTGGTTTATTATTTTTTACATTATTTAAAAAAACTGTTATAAATAACTATGATTTCGACAAATTCACTCAGAATTTCCTATTTGTTATACATGGGTAATTAGTTTTTTAGTCTTTTTTTTTTACAATTTTAAAATGCTTTAAGTGATCGGCGTATACAGTGATATATTGACAAAGCCAATGCTAATTTATATACGCTGCCTGTCTATAATCTCAAGTTTAGTAGTAATGCGACATTTTTTGTGATAAATTATCAATATTAGATGTATCATATTATGATGTCATTATTATGTTTTCAAAATATGTTATCGCCTTTCTGGAATTCTGTAGTTAAATAGCAATCTTTTTCAAATTTTGAGAAATGTTTTTTACAATAAATATTGCGCCAGCGTCGTATTTGTTGAAATCTGAAATCGAAGATACCGATTGTTTCTAACTATAATTAACATTGGTAAAGCCAATATCAGCATTGAAAATAAGCAGGATGTCTATAAAATGATGTATGCGCTGATTACATACAAAAAAGTAGATACCATATTTGTCAAAAACGTATAGGTTTTTATTTTAAATTATCACATTTCCAACATTTTCAATAAATACTACTCAAATTATGCCGGAATTTGGTTTTACAAATTGATTATTCCTAGCCTATCTAGCCTCGTGGACTCGAACTTCGGCTAATATCTGGGGTGTCAATTTTAAATAAACAAAATTTAAATAAACAATTTTTGAAATTCATATCTCATAAATTAAAAGTTAAGCCTAGTCTAATGATGAACGTTTGGGAGATAAATTTGATTACCGGTAGTGACAACAGCACACGGATACAGACGATGTAAACTCAAATTCAGTCATAGTTCGCTAAACACTGAAAAAAGAATCTCACATGATTCCATGATCCGATGTACGATTCGTCAGGTAGCTCGCAGGAAAATGTTGCTTTACCTCCCTTTGATACAGTTATATCCGACATTATCGAGGTGAATCTTTCACAAACAATCTAAACTTTGAAACCTACGACGTTAAGCGTTCCCTTGGAGTACCGAGTTGACTGTAGAAAATAAGCAAAACAAAAAACACTTTTCGATAAAGATGTTATTATACTATTTTCAGAATAAATAAATAGTAGTGCAAAAGGAAAAAGTTATGACACCAACACGTGTAATCAATTTCATTGTGAATATATTTCAGCAATGATCAACGTTTCCCCCACAAACAAGCTATAGACAAGCATTTGTACGTAAGTTAACAATAAATTTTGGAACAATAAGAATCTCTCCAGCTTTGTATTGCAATTTATGGCATCCTAAGTAAGGTTGTATGACTTTCAAGTCGGAACTTTTCAACCCAAAAAGATAACATAACAAACTCGACCCAATCACATGGCATTCATGATAGTTGACTATATATTTCGTCTGAAAGTGCAATTTTGGATATAAGTATGGGCCGTTAAGTATTAAGTATAATAACTCCGTTTATTTTTATATAAAACAATAAAAATCAAAAGCAAAATTTTTCCTATCTATGATCTATATCTGATTTGTAACTTCCATTATTTATTGAACTCAAACCCTTATCAACAATTTTCGCAGAATCACACTATCATTATTATACTGCATTTAAACAGTTTTAACAAAGACATTATATTATGATAATACTATATAGGTATCTTAATATTTTTATTTTATTTTCCTAAATCTATGTCCCACTTTCTTGTCTGCTACCTCGTATTTTTATTCTGCGGTTATTCTTCTATATATTAATTAATAATTTTCTACTTTACATTGATTTCATGCTGAGCAGGCTGCCATACAACAGTACCGTCTTGGAGCCAAACGGTTGGGTAAGAAGGAAACATGCTTCATGACTTTATAAGGGTGGATTCAGCTGATGCCATCACCATCTCATGGGATTTCGGCGTTTATTTTAATCAACCAGGCGTTCGCTTCTAACGATATGCGGGCGTGTGCACTGCAAAAAAAGATCAGCAGAGTTACTCATGTTCTCAAAAATCCCGGTTAAATTATTCGATTATTGTATTTGACAAATTTAGAATTTTAGGCACAAGATCTATTAAATTCGGACACAGATTTGAACACTTTTTTTGTTAAAAAGTAAAAGTTCTTTGAATACACATAATTATAAATATAGTCAAATGCGAGTAAAAAATCCATCATTTTGGACTAGGATTCTGCGTATGTTATTCAGACAACATGATTCCGACGTCAATGCCTGGTAAACGCTTGCAAGAATTTATCTGTTTCAGTCAATTAAAGTTTCTCCATAACATGCATCATAGCAAGCTGTACATGGCGTATGCTGTACTAGTACGTCTAAATATTACCAAATTTTCCTAAATCTTGCCTTTTTTCACTTCACTTGTCGAACAACTAACGGATTCCTATAAACAAAATATGTATATTCCGCTTCATAACAAGTTAAAAACGAGTGAGGTGTCTCATTAATCCCTACGATTTAAAGCTTAATTCTCATAATGATTTCCCATTTGAAGCCTCTTATAGTTAAGTCATTGTCAGCATTGAATATTCTGAACAAATTTTAAAATTCCAGATGAGATGCAAAGGAGGCAAATGTCTACGGTTGAAAATGAACATTTTGATATGCACACGTTTATATGATATTATACGACACGTGTTCGGTTTTACATACACTATATGGACATGGGAGGAGAGCTATAACTCTGAATATACGAATTAACTTGTCGAAAACTATGCGATACTGATTGAGCTTTTTATGAAAACAGCTCGTGGGATCGTGATTACCTTTAATTTCATGATTTTATATTATTCCGCGGAACCACCCCGAACAAAGACCAGCATCCACCAATTCCCCACAACCGAGTATCGTACATTAGGAATTACCAAAATCTGAATGTATTTTAGTCTTCCACGTTCTTGTTAAAAATTCGACGGTGTTTCATTATGAGGTCATAAATGTATTTATTTTAACCAAAAATGTAAATACAAATTAATATTATTTACAAATTCCGAGGGATATACTCGACGTTTGTCTACTCGCTCTCAGTCCGACTCAGTTCCACAATGAGTGGGACAGAGACAGGCAATTGCGATGAGGAGGAAAGAGAAATATGTGATCAAGTCGATTCACATGAACCGAAAAAAAAGGTAAAATAAATCAACATATTCAAACTTTGGTGATAACTTTGTTTTTACTTTAGCGGAGGGATTTTATTCGAGCATGGTTATACTATTAAATGTTTGTAAAATTCATCATTTAATTAAAGCGCACGTAAAATCGTAATCCAAGAGACAAATATATACTTGTACATTTTTAGTTATATTTTTTGTCAAAACAAAACTCTTTATGGTTTATAGATGGCGCTTCCATTAAATATTTTTACAAACTTGGTTGATGGTTTTGCAACTATGACGTCATAGTAAACACTGTGATGAAACTAAGAAGTAAAATCAGGTCATTGTATCTCATCCCATGTTTTAGCGTCGAATTTTGTTTGTTACAATTGAAAATAGATAATCCAATTATTCCTCTCATATAATTTTTCCCATCTATACATCTTACCCAGAAACTTACGGAAAAATAAATAATAAGAGAAGCACCTGTATATAAGTTGTAGAACTCAAGTATTTTAGGGCTGTTTACACTTGAAACTTTTTTGGTCCACGTGACCTTGAAAGCTAGATGACAAGTAAATGCTACAGAACTAGATAGTTAGCACTAGACAGGTCAGCAACTGTTGCCATAGAAGTTTTTGGTTTAGCTATTCAGAAAAGAGAATGATTCGTATAAGTTTCGTTATTTGCGACCGAGCTTTTGTTATGCTCTAAATTGGAAAAAATTTTTTTTTAGAAAAAAGTCTACAAGCTTTGCAACTGGATCCGTGGAGCAGTCTTGGTGGGTTTAAATTAATCATTTGTCTCTTTATAAAATTAATATGAACCTTTGTGCTTGATTGAACTATCTATGTGCTGCCTTGTAGGAAAGTGAGGGATAGATACATACTTATAGTTGGTTGCATCGGTTGCAGTTGAGCGTATCAATTTTATGTTTACACTACTGGATGCTCTGTCAGATAACAATTTCCTATTGGCAGTTAAATTGAAATGCAATATCGATACATTTTTCAGTTTTGCTTCTGTTGCTTTCGGAACCCAAAAGATGAGAAAAATGCTGACTCTACATCGATGACTTTAGTTGAATCAATCGATGCCGTGGAACTCGGAAGAACTCCAAACTATGAGAAAACTGCAGCATTGAAAAAGCCTTCAAAGGCATCTGGCGACAATGTAAGTTCAACACTACAATGCCAAATTAATCGATAAAAATATTAGACAATGCAGATAATCCCGCAAATACGGACTATTGGAATTTCAGCAAGCAGCTCTTGGTAAACGTTTCATTAATTCTTAGCCAAAGATTTTTACTACATTCATTTTCAGTAAAATTTCTTTATAATAAAATATTAACAGTGCATCTTTCTGTTCAGGATAACAAATATCCGGGATTGCCAATGATGCCAGCAGAGAAAACTCAGTCATTTGAAGTAAGTGAGTCGAGTTTAATTATTGGACACAAAGTGAGCCTATGGTTCGTTTTGTTAAATTGTTGTTGTTGTTAGTATCCTTGTTGTTATAGCGCTGTTACCCTTTCTATCAAACTACTGGACCAATTGCTTTAATTTTTTTTATTTATTTCAAAAAATTCTGTGGGCTCCATGCCATTCGTTTTTCAATTTGCATTTTGGTGTGATGACTTCATCAAAATTAAAAATGGCGCACCGTGTGCCGGGTCGGCGAGCACCTTTCGGCGATCTGGTGGTCAGCAACTAGAAAGACTACCGGTACTGTGAAAGATTTAATACTGCTACGTTTTGTAGGCTATATGCCTTCGTTTCCATATATTTCAGCATTGCTCTCTTGTTTTAAATTCTTTGTAGAGCATGATTTTTATTACTATTGTGTAATATTCTTAATATGCATTCAGAATATACCCGGAGCGGTATTTGACGAAAAAGAGTTGGTCGTGTCAAAGGTCGAGGTTAGTTACAAAATATTTCTATAAGTTTTTTTTTTTTGAAAAAATATTTCGAAAAACCGAATATTCTAAGTTTGATCCTGCTCTTTCAAATTTAGGGCAAAATTAGACTCCGGAGACCGAAGACAGCGCCAGTCAATCGAACAGACCCTGCAACAAGATATTTCCCACCTGTGGCGTTCTGGACTCCTGTAGATATCAAACAAAGCGATATCTATAAAATTGATCGTAATCTTCCGAACCTCAAGCTTCATATTCAAACGTGCATTAAATCAAGAAGAAACAAGGTGGAGTAAAATATTTTTTATTCATAAATTGATTACCAACATCAGCCATCTTACACGAATTCTTCTATTCAGACGAGATTTCTCAAACCTTTGGAGTTGACACCTACTGGAAGAAAATACGGAACTGAGGTTCGTGAAATCAGAACTTACTTTTGAAATTATACCAATGACGGTTAGATTGGCCGCAAACTGTATTTGGAAAATCATTTTTATGAAATCGAAAATTACCAAAATAAAATAGTGTTTTGTTCAAAGTTTTTCGGGTAAATAAATAATTCAAAGCATGACCCTCTGGTGCATACCTACCACATCATAATTGCTTCCTATTATAGGACAACGTGAGGAAAATGCGACCAAAAACGGCACCACCTACACGAAAAGGCAATGCAGACTTTCCATCACTTGCATTTTGGGCTCCATTTGACATAAAAAGATGCGATTTGAACAACATAAATCGTAATCTACCAAGCCTACAAGATTACGCACGAGCTCGCCCCAAGTCACGTAGAAACAAGGTTTGGTTCATTTATACGTTATGAAAAAAAAATGTATTATTTAGTCTATCTAATGCAAAAATGACAGACTTTTTTCAGTGCATTTTATACATTAGCATTTTGTAAGACATTGTGAGTCTCCTATACTATTCTCGGACTCGGGGGTACATGGTGTGGCACTAGAGATACATGTATTTGAATAGAATTCATCAAATTAAGATTTATAATAATTATTTTAGAGAAAAAGGAGAAAAAGAAAGTTACCTTCGGATGAAGATTGCAAGGTATGAAAATCGGTTAGAATATAAACATACAAATGCTATTGCAATTTTCGGCTTTTATTATCATTATTTGGAAAATGTTAAAACAATATTTTAAAGCAATAAACACGTTTAATTTTATAATACTGTTTATCCTATATGCGCTTCAATTGAGGCTCAGAAATCAAGGGGTTGAAACTTGAATCAAAGATTGTTTAGTTTAATAAAGCAGTTTACAATAAGTATTGTCATTTTATGAAAAAATACTTTTCAGATTAGAGCTGATGTTTGACATATCATGGATAAGATGTTGGATGAAGTTCCACAAGATGATGACATTCGTGATATTTTGGAGAGTCCCATTGACAGATCGGTAAGATGTCTTTTAGGTTTTAGTTTTTATTCATCGAGTTGCATGAAAATGATATAATAAAATATTTGTTTTCAGTTTGTTCTAGTCATATAAAATTGCTTCACCGACGTTCCTGCTTTCCAGTATAAATATAGAATGATATTTCATATGTCCTTCTATAAAATTTAATTTTCTTTTTCTCATTAGCTAGATGACAAAAGAAATGAATGTCAAGTGAAGGATTGAAAAGAAAACTGGAAAAATATTTTTTGCCTTATTTTTGAATATAAAATGTATTCTTTTATTTTAGTACCGGTAATAAAATTTAAAAAAAATAACAAATTGTACATATCGATTTTCGTAGGAAAACGTGAACGCAAATCGTAATTTTTTTTTTATAAATTCATTTAAAACGGTCAAATTTTCGGTTAACTTCATGAAAACATCAAAACAAAAAACTCTTCAACGTTAAAGAAATCTTGTGACAAAAAAAAACATTGATATCAGAAATTCTATATTTAACCCGCCAGTGATTTAAGCCGCAACACTTTGGCGTCAGACGTGTAACGGCAAAGATTCTCATCAAACAGTCCTAAATTGGACAGACAGGGAAATTTCGAAATGCTGAAATTAGTTCTTATTACATATATTTCGATATTGGAGAGACTAGTTTGATGTATCAATTCCCAGCAATGAACATCTTCTATCTCATAGGTTCTCAAAGGGCTCCGTACGGAGCCTCAGGGCTGCGTTAAAGACACGTCGGGGCTCCGCGATCTATTGGTCCACTTAAATACTGACCCGGTAAATTTAGTATCTATAAAGAAGTATTAACACCACCAAAAAAATTTACAAAATGACAACGGTAGAGTCAAATATGGTAGTGATTCAGATATAACATTATCTATAATCAGGGGCGCAGCCATGGTTTTCTAAAAGAGAGGGGGTTCAGAATAGAAAATTCCCGAGCAACACTCATCGCTCAACACTCAATTAGGCGACTTCTTGTAAAAACGTATTTTTCAGTGGAAAACAAGATTTCTGTTGCTTAAACTATTCAATCCATGGCCGACCCGAAAATTTAAAATGTCTTGTTATATCAATTCAATTGTGTTTGGTGTACTCGCCTTTGAGTTGACTAAAATACTACGGCAATCTAAGGACCAAGAAATACTTGCTAAATTGTCTACTAGCAAAAAATAGATTGAAATCGTATTTTTGAGTTGTTCTTTCAGCACTCAAGTTTATCGCAATGTTTTGTTGTTAAGGGAGAGTTTTTGGTTATAACGCCAATTAAATTTAATTTCTTCACATTGAATTTGGTCTATGCATGAAGGTATCAGTGATTTCTACAAGTGAAGAAGCCGTCACGGAATACATATCGGCCGACACGGTAAAATGATTCAACCGTTATTAGAAGTTCAGACTTTCGAGCTAGTGCCGTTTTACATTCCTTCCCACTGCCCTATCTCCATCAACTTTTCTATCCTCGACCCACTGCCTCATCTCCATCAACCTTCCTATCCTCAAACCACTGACCCATTTTCTCCATCAACATTCCTATCCTCGACCCACCTCACTATCTCCATCAATCTTCCTATCCTCGACCCACTACCCTATCTCCATCAATCTTCCTACCCTCGAATCACTGCCCTATCTCCATCAACCTTCCTATCCTCGACCCACCGCCCTATCTCCATCAACCTTCCTATCCTCGACTCACTGTCCTATCTCCACCAACCTTACTATCCTCGAACCACTGCCCTATCTCCATCAACCTTTCTATCCTCGACCCACTGCCCTATTTCCATCAACCTTACTATCCTCAAACCACTGCCCTATCTCCATCAACCATCCTATCCTTGAACCACTGCCCTATCTCCATCAACCTTTCTATCCTCGACCCGCTGCCCTATCTCCATCAACCTTCCCATCCTCGAACCACTGCCCTATCTCCATCAACCTTCCTATCCTCAAACTACTGCCCTCTCTCCACCCTATCCTCGAACCACTGCCCTATCTCCATCAACCTTCCTATCCCCGGCCCACTGCCCTATCTCCATCAACCTTCCTATCCCCGATCCACTGCCCTATCTCCATCAACCTTCCTATCCCCGGCCCACTGCCCTATCTCCATCAACCTTCCTATCCCCGATCCACTGCCCTATCTCCATCAACCTTCCTATCCCCGGCCCACTGCCCTATCTCCATCAACCTTCCTAATCCCGATCCACTGCCCTATCTCCATCAACCTTCCTATCCCCGATCCACTGCCCTATCTCCATCAACCTTCCTATCCCCGATCCACTGCCCTATCTCCATCAACCTTCCTATCCCCGGCCCACTGCCCTATCTCCATCAACCTTCCTATCCCCGATCCACTGCCCTATCTCCATCAACCTTCCTATCCCCGATCCACTGCCCTATCTCCATCAACCTTCGTATCCCCGGCCCACTGCCCTATCTCCATCAACTTTCGTATCCCCGGCCCACTGCCCTATCTCCATCAACCTTCCTATCCCCGATCCACTGCCCTATCTCCATCAACCTTCGTATCCCCGGCCCACTGCCCTATCTCCATCAACCTTCGTATCCCCGGCCCACTGCCCTATCTCCATCAACCTTCGTATACCCGGCCCACTGCCCTATCTCCATCAACCTTCCTATCCCCGGCCCACTGCCCTATCTCCATCAACCTTCCTATCCTAGATCCCCTGCCCTATCTCCCCCAACCTTCTTATCCTCGATTCACTGCCCTATCTCCATCAACCTTCCTATCCCCGACCCACTGCCCTATCTCCATCAACCTTCGTATTCTCGACCCACTGCCCTATCTCCATCAACCTTTCTATCCTCGACCCACTGCCCTATCTCCATCAACCTGTCTATTCCCGACCCACTGCCCTATCTCCATCAACCTTCCTATCCCCGACCCACTGCCCTATCTCCTTCAACCTTCGTATCCTCGACCCACTGCCCTATCTCCATCAATCTTCCTATCCTCGAACCACTGCCCTATCTCCATCAACCTCCCTATCCTCAACCCACTGCCCTATCTCCATCTCCAATTTTATATTGCCCTCAACCCACTGCGTTATCTCCCTGACTTTCCTATTCTTGACCCACTGTCCTATCTCCCCAACCTTCCTATCCTCAAACTACTGCATCATCTCCCTCTACTTTCCTATTCCCGACCCACTTCCCTATTTTCCTAACTTACTTAGCTTTGACTTACGACGCGATACTACCTAATACCTGACTTAACAGCGTTTTATTCACGTGTGACGACCCTTGTTTTATTGGACACGTTTAGTGGCCATAACGATCGTTTCAAAATTTTGTTGTTATTGTTATGTGTCTCCGTCTCCATTTTTAAAAAATCGCTTTTTTCTTCGAATACTGGACCAATTGCTTTGATATTTTCAGTGGTTAAAGATAAAATTTTTCTCCAGAAGGCTATTACTTTTTTTCCCCGCTATGACGTCATCAAAATTATTGCCACTGGGTGGCGCTACGTGTCCATATATTTGAGCATAGCTCTCTTGTCTGTTAAATGATGTTTGGCACTGGGGGCGCTGTAATACTGTCGATCTGTTTGTTTGGTGTGGCTTGTTAGCGTGTGATGTGGTTGGCAGGGTGCAGTTGTCTGAGTGTGGTTGTTTTCGGTTGGATTTTGGGTGTTTTGTGTTTGTGGCAGTGCCTCTGGTCTCCGGTGGGTTATCGGGGATGTTTGTTTGTGTTTTTGTGACTGTTTTTATTGAGATTGGGGGTCTAGTATAGTTTAGTACCACAAGTACTTCCAGTGGGCGTAGCATACCGTTTTTTGCATATGTTATTCTTAACCCCCACCTGACTATGCCATCCAAAAATTACGTCACCAACACGTCATAGGGCTTGCCAAATTATAATTACGATCGCCCGAAATGGCATCTGCGCCGTTGACAACGAACTCGCTAAAGCCGGCGATCTCTCTCCTATCGTGAACGTTGTGACGAGAAAACGAGAGAAATCGCTTGCTCGATTTCGGGTGATCGTCTGCGCGATTTGGACAACCATCAGCATACTTTGATGGGCCATATTGCGCTAATGTGATGTCGAAATGACGTAATTTTTTGGTGACGTAGTCAGGTGGGGGTTAGGATTGACATATGCAAAAATTATTGGGCCAGGCCAATTAGAAGTACATGTGGTACTAAACTATACCAGACCCGAGATTGGTTGGATGTTTTTGTGCTGGACAGTGGGCTAATGTTGGGACCCTGTTGCTGTTTGCGTGTAGTGCCATTGCAGTTCATTTAGTGTTGTATTTTCAGTTTTATCATGGAATTAGCTAACATCAGTACTGTTCAAATGTTGTGCACATATATAATTGTTTATAGTCTTTTAAAATGCCTGTCATATGTTATTTTCAGATTGCAAATTGTAGTAGCTAGTCTCAGGGCCTTACATTTTATTGCCTGGTATTGTTGTTTTTGTTGTGTGCTTTCCGTTTCTTTGGAGTGTTTGGTTGTATTAACCGTTTCATTGAAGGATAATTAATAAATAGAACAAAATAGTATAAATTAAAGTGAACACTGAGAGGAAACTTACTACACACGGCCCAATCGTCAAACTGAACTTTTCTATCTTGCGGCCAACTTCCATGAGTTATACTGGTCGAGAAAGCCAATGAGACGATTCAATCGTACGTCGACAAAACATGATTGACGGCATTCGTATATGTAGGCTGGAATGTCAAATGGTAATGAATAACCATAATTAGTAGCTTGAAAATATGCTGCTAATTAGGCTAATGATGGCCACCGGTATAGAATCACGAACAAAGTTGTTTTCAAATTTTAACAAGCTGTTTTATGCCCTTAGTAATTGGTTAACTCTTTGAACTCTGAATCCCCAGAACGACGCTACTCTCTCATCCTGATCTCCCACGGCATCGCATC